GTAAAGGAACTCACATTCGGTCAGAAAGTATTTGACCGCCAATTGGTTGTCAGCCGTCGGCTGTCGGAGACAGCGATTGCAGTGAACGACGTCTGCCATCACTGGTCGGTCACCAGAGCTGATCACCCAATGGCCGGTTTGGACACAAACGGCCGTCCGATTGGCCACAGAGTCTGACTCTGTGTCCAACTCTAAGATAATAGCAATTTTGGAATCACTTCTTGTGGTCACAAATCAATCAATCAATCCTTGAATGTCTTCTTGTCTGACAAGTGATGGCAACGAATGACTCATTCAAAGCCAATCCTAAGCCTAACGACGCACTCGACAGCCAATGAGAGCGCAGAGACTGACGATCGGCTCAATTGCGTGCAAACAGTGATCCGTAAGGCATAGACTGTACGACGCGATTGAACTCTATTAGTCACACAGCGATGCGGTGTTAACGCAAACTATGAGTCATTCAATTGATTCACTCTTTTATTAATTTAAACTTTTTATTAGTTTTTAAAAACTTTTTTCTTTTGTAAACTTTTATTACAAACTTTTAAGTTATAGGAGATTCTCATCGCATGTATTGTCAGTTATATTCAGGTTTTTAATGCAATTAATTTAATTTAATTAAGTTTTTATTTATAAATAGTTGCAATTAGTAGTAGTTTTAATTAAGAATAATTGAACATGTTCATTTGGACAGCGATTTATTCAACAATAAGTTTAAGCATAAGTAATGATAACTTCTTTTTATTAAAAGTAAATTTAAATGAAAAATGACAATAACTTAATGGCAATAATGTTTTCAAACATTCAAACACTTAATAAGTCGTTAAGTATTTAAAATCAATTCATTTTTCAAAAGTAATCCAATATTTGAAGTGAAATACAAAGAGACGAAGAGATGAGTTCCGGAGGAAGTGTTGTCTTGAATGATGACATTCTGGGTCTTATATTACAAGACTTGGATCTGAAAGATTTGTTTGCATTGCAAAGAGTGTCACAACAATACAGGGATTGTGTGAAAGAAGTGCTGAAGAAGAAGAGAGAAGTGAGCGTTGGCTTCAATGGCGCCAAGAAGTGGACAAAACAGTGGTCAAAGACAAGTAATATCTTCCGTTTCTCTGCCAATCACTGGAATCGCATAGACATCACACCAGCGATCGCTTCCCCGAGAGTTGTTCTCGCATTGGATAACAACAATAGACTCGAGTCTTTTGTCCGTCACTTTCGTGGCGTCGATAAGTTATACCTGTCGTCAACCGGAATCAGTTTCGAGATGATTGAGTTGTTAGTTAATGAGTGGCCACAACTCGAAGAACTCTACATCAATGACATCGAGATCTATGGGTTGAGTGATGGGCCGATTGGGACCAAAGCGACCGAATGGGCAAAAGTGCTCAAAAAAGTCAAACACATTACTGTTCGCAAAATTGATGCAAAGTTTGTCCCATTTGTGACACAAGTTATCCAAAGGATGGAATCGTTTCGAAGTCTTGATATGTGGGGTGTTTGGAGCAGCTTTCGATCTGAGGAGAAGACAATCGCTCTCTCATTACTGACCCATTGTTTGCCGTCAAACATGAGATCTCTTCACGTCGGTGTCACTCCAGCGGACAGTCAAGCGCTGGACGACATTACAGAGAAATGCCTTCACTTACGGGAACTCTCTATTAAAGAATCGGAACTATTTCGAGAAGAGGAGGACATGAATATTTGGAACCAATGGTTTGCAATGATTTGCGATCGACTCAAGAATTTGCGATATTTGAAAGTCATTTTCATTGACATTTCCGCCAAAGAATTTGCCAAAAGTATCGCAAAACTCAAGCAATTACGACGACTTGTGGTCAGTGGAAGCGGTCATTTCAATACACTCCGAAACACTCCGAGAATGTGTTTCGACACTCAAGAGATGGCCAAAAGTGTCGAGAAACCAATGGTGTCGTTGCGGTCGTTATCTCTGATTGGACTCAAGTGTTCGCCGAAGCGGTGGTCGAATTTGGCCCAAATGTTGCCTAATGTGCGCAAATTGAGTCTCAGATCAATGGATTACTACACCGATTGTGAACACGGATTCAATTGTTATCAATGTTTTCACGGGTGTATGGAATTGGTGTCCAAACTGCCAAATCTGAAGCGTTTGATGATCTGTTTTGCAGTCATTCAAAGGCAGACATTGGATTTGTTCGCGTCTATGGATGAGCTCAGCATTGCTGTGCAATATTATGTAAATGTGACGGAAGTGCTCATAGGGTTTGTCACCCAAACACTGGCCAATAGACGTGGTTTTCGATTGCATCTCTTCCCTCGACTTAAGAAAGAACTGATCCTAAGAATGGACGAAATGGATGTCCAAATGCCTGAGAGTCTTATTGTAAGTGATTTCTACAAAACTCAAGATAAGGACGAGTGACTGCTTACCGATGTCTCAAACCATTCTCTCCACTCATTTCATTACTATTTAAAGAATTAAAACAATTTCAAAAATAAAGTGTTTCAAAACAAATCAATTATATTTTATTATGTAATCAAAAGACGAGAAAACAATTGATTTAATTGTTGTATAATAAGTGAGAGGAATATTAATAGTAATATTATAATAATTACATGAAATGGTCGGTGACTAACATTCAGAGACAATAGAGACGACAATTACTTGGGTTTAGTTCGCGGCCGAAGGTCTTCATAGCACGGGTGGAGGAATATGTAGTTCTTCTTCTGCGGGTTATAGTATTCGTGTCCTTTAGACCAGTCATAGCTCACGGCATACGCGAACAGTTCGCCCCGTGAGCTGAAGCAGCCTTTGGTGATGGGCTGTTCCAACTGTTCCGATGTCTTCAGTTTGGTTCGGGCGTCTTTGTCCCAATAGCTGAAGCGGCCGTCGGAGCCAACGGTGGCCAGAGTTCCGTGATGTGGATGGAAACAGATGTCGTTCACAGCGAAGATGTCTTGGAAGCCGTTGTTCGTGCCGTTACTTCGATGACATTTGAACGTGAAGTTGTCCTTCGGGTTAATGGGGTTCACGTACTGAATGGCCACTCGACCCTCCACTGAGCCCAACGCGAACCCCACGGGAGGCGACGGCTGTTTCTCTTTGTCCACGAATATGGAGACACATCTGTGTTGGTGTTTAAGCGGCGATTCCAGCCGTTTATACTCTTGGAGACCGTTCTCCAGATTGTAGACGATAATGCCTTTGTTGGCGGTGCCGACCACTGCCATCGGGTACAACACATCCGCGCAATAGCAGCGCTCCGGCAGTTGTACGGTCTGTACGGGGTTTGGCGTTCGGGTATCCCATAGCTGTTCAATACAACAACAATCGCAACATTACTATCCATTTAATCGTTCAAATAATGGACACAAAAACAACGGCACATACTTTGAGTGTCTTATCCCAACTGCCGGACAGAATGCAGGTATAGTTGGGTGCCTTCACGTAGTGGACAGTCTTGACGGGCGCGTCGTGTTGTCCTATTTGTATGAATTGGTTGGCATTCAAGTCCCACATCTTCACAGACTTGTCACACGAGGCCGAGAAGACACGCGTCCCCTCCTATACACACAATGAGAGCACACATTAGACCATCGCTTCGTTTGACAGCCACTCATCTCAAGACATACCTCATCGAAGGCGAGGTCGAGAACGGGTCCGGCGTGTGTTTGCTGTGCTTTGGGAACCGTTGACCAGCTGTTGGTCTGGGCGTTGCCGCTGATCTCCCAACACCTGATCTGGTTATCCCACGACCCGCTCATCAAGAAGTTTGTCTGAAGCGATGGCGGACTGAAGAGTAGAGCGGATATGGAGTCATCCGGCGGTGACATAACCTCCAAGTCTTTCATCGGATTATGTGTTTGAGTGGAAAGCAATGGATTCAGCGATGAATTGGACGAAAACATTGAACTCGTGTTCGCGGAGCCAAACATCGGCTGATTTACGCCAGAAGTGGGGCCGAAGAAACTCATTGTCACCGCAATTGGTCTCACAATTCGCTACCAAATCAGTGGTCGATGTCTTCGGCGATAGAAATTCAATGCGTTTTTTGAACGAAACAAACACTTTATGACTGAATGTCAACAACAAATGTGTTCACAAATTACGTGACACTTAATTACAGACAACTTTCGGTCCACAAAAGTATTGCAACTTTTGATTGCCATTCAATTGTGTCTCCAATTGTTGGCCACAAACACATTGATCATCACTTTTGGATGCGATTGCGATGACTGCGGACAGGGATGTGCTTCAAGTCTTACCCTACGGTCCGAGTGATCATGTTTTTAGCGGCCAATCGTTTACCGGCTAAATGTTGGTCAACGATATTTGAGTTTTTAATGGTAAAATGAGCATGGTCATGGATCAGACTCTGGTGACAATCATTCAATAGGTCTGACCATTGAGTGCCTCACGAGTGGACACAATATCTACACTTTGACACGTGTTTTGGGCCTAAATCTAGCGGTTATGCGAATGTTATGTAATGTATGAATGCGTTGAGTAATAAAACATATGCTTTGAGTCTTGTATTGAGTATTTGTGTTGTGTTTTGTTATTCACAACAAAATAAAAAGCGATAAAAATGTGAAACAAAAATAATAATCAAACAAATCGTCAAATCATTAACTTTTTAATCGCTTTCTCATTGAAAAACTCATATCAATAGCGATAATAACAATACATTCCGTGTAATCGT